AAGTCAACCATTACTCCTGGAACACGACTCACCAAGGGGCGCTCATCACCATCAACGTCACCATGGCCTTGGTCACGGTCAGCATCATGTCATCGAGCTCTTACAAAACAAAACAAAAAAAGATATGGGGGAATAATGTCGCCGCCTGAGCGTTATCGGTCAGGGCGCGGCGCACGGTGAGAGATGGGGGGGGGGGGAGGACATCCGACGGAGGACGGAGGTGTGAAGAGTGGACATCGGGAAGAATGGAGCGGAGGAGGCGAAGGGGGAGGGGAGTGTGGAGCGGCGCGACAAAAGAGCAGCAGCGTGGCAACAACCCTCACGTCATGGCGAGGTAGAAGGGCATCGGAAGAAGGTACAAATAAAAATGTGCTACGAACTTCAAATGTATTTGTAAAAAAAAAATAATACAACCAAAACAATAAACACTATAAACATTGTGGCAGGAGAAGAAGACGAACCACGGTTGCGGCTGGGTTTCCTATCCCCGCTGCCAAACGCTCCTTATGGCCCCGTGTGAGTAGGCAACGTGTCAGCACGCGTGCATGCGGTGCAGTATAAAAGAAAATACGAGGCGTGAGTCAGCCACCTGGTGCAGGGAAGGCTTAGAGAAGGTTAGGCAAGCCCGCCTGCACGGCTGCGTGCAGTATAGTATAACGATGCGAGATCTTTGGGGTCTGTGGCCCACCCTCCTGAACCTGCGTGGAGGAGGGAGGCATCGATGGATAGCCCAGCTGGGTGGGAGAAAATATAGTAAAACTGCGTTAGGTGAGAGGAAGAGAGAGAGGGAGAGAAAGAGAGAGGGAGTGCCGTGTCGCTCGGCCGCTCCCCACACCAACCGTCTGTCACCGGGCCGTGGGCTCGGCGGCGGCACGACCTGCCTGATCAAGGGGTTGTGTGCCGAACCGGACAACAAAGCCCCGAGCCGTGATGAAGGGGCGGGCGGAGGGGGGGGGGCGTATCGTGTGTGATTGCAGAATTCCTGCCGGCCTGGCCCCCTTTACCAGCCGCAGCGCGGCAGCTCTTGTAAATGCGACCCCCCCCCCTCTCCCCCACCTGCGTTTGTCGGTGACCGTTCCGAGGCGCGCCCGCAAGATCACACAATTCATGCATACTTCACATTCACAGGTGAGTCGGACCGGCCTCGGCCGGTTCGGTACCCATACCCGACCCCGCTCACCCGCACAGATCAGCCGCGGGCAGCGCGCGGCCACGTCCCGGGAACGGACGAGCGGACATCGGTGCTGGGCCGCGCTGGACTACAAGAGAATGCCACGGATTTCTATTTATTCAAGGCGCGCTGCGCGCTCTGCGGCGGTGTCGAGTCGCGCAAGAGCATCGGCGGGTCGGGTCGGGTCGCGGGCAGGCGGCGGTGTCACCACCTCGACGTGCGGGTCATATTTACTCGCGGCCGCACACACCTG